TCCGGACAAAACCACTTTTGCCGGGGGGGGGGGGGGGGAAACGCACAGAAAAAAGCACAGGATGCCTGTAGTAGAATTTGCTACATGAGCTGCTTTCCCGCGTTTCACGCACATGCATAAGCTTATTGAAATCAATGAGTGACGTGCGGGAAAACGTGGGAAGCAAACACATGCAAACATGATACACATTCTCGCTAAACTCCAGTGTATACAGGGACTAAGGGTATCAAACTCATCCAATTGCTGAAGTTGCTGACCATTGCTGGCTGGATTCTTCCTGTAGATGGCAGTATTGCCTATTACATTACTCACAGGATACTCTATACGATAATAGCGCTGTGACTGGGGCAGGTAGGACTTTCTTTTAGTACACTGACAAGGTTATTCACAAAAGGGTGAAGAGTCTGGAGAAGGCAGGAGAAGTGAACAATCTAGGACAACATAGCTGAACTGGAAATATTCTCCAATTCAGCTCACTTTCCAGTTCAGCTATGTTGTCCTAGATTGTTCACTTCTCCAAACTATTCACCCTTCTGTGAATAACCCTGTAAATGACAGATTCAGAGCTTTATTTTTCTTAAATACTGAAAAAGTTTCCAAATGATGAAAGATAATTCATTATTGTATCAAATTAATTTTGTCTTCTGAGTAGAGATATCTAATTTGGTTATTTCAAGTGAGGAACGGAAACACTGGTGTAAATACAAAATGTCATGTGTCTCCTCTCACCACGTCATGACATTGAAGGCTATATCTCTGGAAGAACCCACAAACATCACTAAAAATGAGAATTTAACATTGAAAATAATCTTTGTTTTCATTGTCGGTGCTTTCAAACTTTGTGTAGAATTGTCTTATAATTGAATTAGTGCATATTTGTATTGGAAGTGATAATAAAATACTTTTTCCTTTTAAGGGCTTTATCTGTTCTTTTTTTTAATAAGTAAATAAATATAGAATTCTATAAAAATAAGATATACTATGTGTCTCAGGCACGGGGATACCTAGGGTCAAGTCCTAGGGAACTTAGGGGACAGTGGATGTCCAAGGGGCCCTACTAGGATGCTGCTGCAGTAAATCAGGTTGAGTAAAACTGGTGAAAGCTGTGTATTGTAGGCGTTTGGTGTCTCATGTGTGCACAGATGATGCAAATGAGGAGACTTCTCTGTGTGTATTGCATTTGTACCGCTCACCCCCAAAGGAGCTGCCAGAATAACCCAGGTCATTACCTGTCTAGAAGGTTTGGTAACCAGCTGCCCTATTAGCATCAACCACCTTCTTCTCTTGCCCACATAGCTGATATCCAGGCCAGAAGTATGATGCTGAAGAACTTTACTAAAACATTCTGTGGTAGATGAGGTGATGAAATTATCTGTGGTCTTCCAACAGTTGCTGTCTTTTCTTGATGGCATTTGAAGGGCCAACATTTGTTCTGCCCCCTGAAATGCTGAAATGCATCCCCTTTCTTTGGTCCAATAAATATACAGCATTGTTATGTAGGCTGCAATGTTCTAAATATAAAAACAAAGCAAAGTCAGCACCATATTTTTTTTTTTCTACATTATGTACAATCACATGACTGGAAATTAATTTTTATATTTACATACACAAACACACACTTACTATATTGTCAGGGTTTCTTACCCTTCTTTGTCAGGATGAGCTGACACTGTTCGTTCGTCTTTGGCGCCCTCTTATGACTAAATCCATAAACATCATCATTCTACAACCCAGGGGCGTCCCGAGGCTGGGTGACACCTGGAGCGGTAACCGAGTGTCACCCCGCCGAGACGTCACTGCGCGTGACGTCATTACGTGCTTGCGCGATGACGTCATTGCGCACGCGCGGCAGTATTCTGATACCTGCCGGCGTCCATCACCAAGATGAGAGAGGAGGGGACAGTCACCCGGCGGGATAAGGTATGCCGCCGCGTCCCCTCCTTTCTCCTGATACTGTTGAGCGTTCGGTCCATGACCGAGCACCCGACTTTTCAGAGGGAGGTGACACTAAAATGACTGTGAGTCATTTTGGTGTCACCCCCTCCAATGGTGTCACCCGGGTGCGGGCCGCACCCTCCTTGTGACGCCACTGCTACAACTACTGGCAAACGCCTGGCAACTTCCTGTCTCAGAGTTATGATGAAACACCAGCCTACTATTTAACCTTTAGCTTGTCCATTCAGTCTCTGCTGTTGCTGTGATATGTTATTCTTAAGTACCACAGGCAGGCAGTGCATTAAAGGTGGAGCGTGTGCAGGCAGGCAGTGCTGTCGGGGTGA